GGAGTACCCCCTCCGTCAGTCGGCAGTCCAGGGCACTGTGTGTCCGAGTGGATCGCAACGCGATTTTGCGAATCCCACTCCACCACATCACCAATCAGATCATAATATTTTACGCTGTTGCAACATCCCATCAGCCCTTCCAAAAGTGTTCATACATTATTCAAGTCATGGCTATACCTTCCGTGTCAGGGTAACTTGTCGGGGGAAGCCTCGCGACTTCGGAGGATTAAAATTTGCTTTTGTACTTTGTGAGCAGACTTCGAGCTGAAACGGTCAACCAATCCCTGTGTGTCGCACGTAAATGCTGAATGCTATTGCGCTATTTAAGTCAGTCAGCAGACCCCACGGCAATAACTATTTCGTCGATTTTGTTCAAACAAATGTGCATCTTACTTGAGCCTAGCAATCATCAATTCCAAGCGCAAAAAAATATAGACGGCGTTCTTACATCGGTTGCAGGAAATGCATGGAATCCGGTATTAGAACAATGAAGGAAAAATTAAAACAATCGAGGGTGTATAATTTGGGTATTGCCTTCAACTTGACCTCCTGTGTCGGTGCGTACATGAAGATAATCAGAATACTGGGCATCTTTGACGTTTCTTCCCTTGACATTGGCAAATATAGACAGCGATTGCTTATCATCGTCGATGGCTCCACCAACCTTGTCGTGGACGTGACCATTACTAATACAGCATACCTGTAACACTCATGCGTAGCCTTGTTGGGCAGCTTGGCCGCCCATTTCCAGTTGGTCGAGCACTTGGAGTCGTGTAGGCCAAGGATTTCTCTCACGTAGACACTGAAGGTGCCAAGCTGGATAGATCCATCGACTGGAAGCTCATTATAACAGTCAAGTATTGGACAAGGGCGTGTACGCAAGGCTTTCCTTATTTCCTACATTGAATACGTTAATAATAATAAATGAAAATAATACTATATGCCCAGAAGTGGAATGAGTCCAATGTATTGCATGTGAGGAAGGCGCTATGGTACATTGATCAAGTCTTACCGACTTAGATGGAATATTCCCCTCCCCCCCCCCCGCTTCTCTTACCCCGGAACGTTTGTCCAATACCTT